TGGTAAACGGTAAGGATTTTTAAAGTATTATATGGAAGTACTCCTCATGCGATTAGCGTAACAGAATAAAGAGTATTAAAGAATTATTATTAATAAGTAGAACAACGAAGGTGATATCGCACTTAATATCTTGGCGAAATTCGCAAATAACTATTGGTAAACGGTAAGGTTGGATTTTTAAAGTATTATATGGAAGTACTCCTCATGCGATTAGTGTAAAGTATTAAAGAATTATTATTAATAAGCAGAACAATGAAGGTGATATCGCACTTAATATCTCGGCGAGATTCGCAAATAACTATTGGTAAACGGTAAGATTGGATTTTTAAAGTATTATATGGAAGTACTCCTTATGCGATTAGCGTAACAGAATAAAGAGTATTAAAGAATTATTATTAATAAGCAGAATAACGAAGGTGATACCGCACTTAATATCTCGGCGAGATTCGCAAATAACTATTGGTAAACGGTAAGGTTGGATTTTTAAAGTATTATATGGAAGTACTCCTCATGTGATTAGCGTAAAGTATTAAAGAATTATTATTAATAAGCAGAACAACGAAGGTGATACCGCACTTAATATCTCGGCGAGATTCGCAAATAAAAGACTCGTGAAGCTTCTTGTTGATGCTGGAGATGCGGAAGATTATATTTTAGAATTAGACTATAGTACCAAATTCTGAGCTGAACAACAAAATCTTCCACCTCAGTAGTTGTTACCACGATTCCGAAGCAAGCAGAATTTTAATACGTAATACTGCAAGAATTTATTATTAGCACAAACATAACTAACATTTAGTCACGAAGAACTCAAAAAAAATAGTTTAATTGAAAAGTTATGAGAGAAAACTCAAACTGTACCGGCACGTAAAGAACGCATGAATGATTTAATCAGTTTGATAACAGATAAAATAGAGAATCGAAGAAGTCAAAGATTAGATGCTTGTTTAAAAAATGAAGCGAAAAAGGCTATACCAATAACAGAGGCAAATCAAGAAAGGTAAATACCGGTTATTAATTTTTATTTATTTGTCTCTGTCGAATTTTATTCTAAGGAAACTTACTCTTTTTGAAAATATTACATAGGGTTAAAGAGCTAGCTATAAAGTGAGGGAATTTAAAGCTTAAGGATTCAATTGCAAATAATTAGCATGTTTCCCGGGGTCATTCGCCAAATGTATAATTCTAATTTGGAATCTTAATATTGACGGGGTGGACTTTTTTTTAATTTTAAAAATGTCGTTAATTTATTAGAATTTACAATTTTAATTTTAATTTTTTTTTTCGGAGTATTTAGTATCAGGCATTTAGATATTTTTAATAAAAATTTTGTAAACATTTATTTTATCAAAGAAAATGTTTTCATGCATTCACAAATTTCTTTATTGTTGTTTATTCAATTCTAACAATACATGATCAGGAATATAACGGTGAGATTTGTATTTTTTGGCAGCATATTCTTCCAGTTTACCAGTGACATTTTTCCTGTACAAATCCATATAACGCCATGCCTTTCTGGCAAATTTTCTTATTGTAATTGTATCAACGGATTCCAAGGCTATAGGAACAGTACGTTGTAAGCCCGACCAAGAATAATTACAGTTTTCCCGAGTATACCTTTTTGCCATCCCCCAATATTGTTCAATATAATTCAATTCACAATGAAACTTCGGATAAAAGATACATCTATGTCCAGCTTCTAATATTACTTCTTCCAATGCACTTTTTTGTAATAAAAAATCTGGTTGCAATGAAATAATCCTTCGTGCACAACAATCTACCCGATTTATATCATCCACTTTATCCTTACACAACTTACAATCCGCACTTAATTTATTTCTCCATAATCCACGTTCTATCAATACTTGTTCCATTCCTTTTGGTTCATTATTTTCATTTACCATCGATTGATATTGATTATTTGGTCCAAAAACTGTATTTCGCATTTTTGGTTGTTTTCCTCCAGGTTTTAAGTTCATTCTACTGGCTACAAGAGCATCAGATTTGTATGCTGCATGATTGGAACTGTTATCAAATGCAAATAATGCAATACAATTAGGAAAAATCGTTTCAAAAATTGGTATAGCCTTCATTCTCACTTGTTCAATTAAATGTTTGCTTGTCCAGAATCCATCATGATCTTTACCGGGTTGAAGATAAACACGAGCTTCTTTAGGTATAGAAGGATTTTCCTGACATTGTTGTAAATTTAATTTAAGCCGACCACATTCTTCTGCTAAGAATTCACTAACCATAATAGAACGTCCATTTCCTTTTTTGCGCAATGGTAACTTTCCAGATTTTGCCCATACACCTCGTTTTCCATCATTGGAATAAAATATACATTCATCGTGTGTTACAAGAATTACTTCCTTATTATTGAGTTCTAATATTGGTGGTATTCTTTCCATATTTTCACCTTCGTATTTTGCCATACTTTTTTCATAACTAAATATTTTATCCAAAAATATTTGTCGATAGTTTATAACATCAGGACGTTCGTGTCCATCATAATATGTACCTATTTAATATAAATAAAATTTATTTAATTATATTAATGAATTTTATTATATATTTAATATTTAACGTACCTTGTTTTTGTAATTGAAAAAAATATCCAAGAACATTAAGCCAACGTGTTGCAGTTGATAAACTTATTGTTTTTTTTTTCATTATTCCTGAATCGATCAATAGTTTTTGTTCAATAAACTCTTTGAATTTTAATGGAGTAGTTATTCCACCTTGAGATCTAATCCACACATGACATTTTTCCGCTATATCCTCATCATCTATTAATCGTATTGTTTTTTGATGTTTGCCTTGACGATTTATTGGAAGATAGTTATGTTGAAGCCAATAGTTTGCCCAATATCGAATAGATCTTGCTTTATATGGAGCACTTTCAATAAAAACCAATTGTGCAGCTTCTATACTAGCTTTCTGTTTTCCCTTTCCGTTATTATCTAATCTGCTTAAGTATTCAAATATCGCTTTTTTTTTGTTATATTCGGTTATTGATAATGATTTTTGTTGTTCTTTAAGTTCATTTTTTAAATCTTTAATTTTTTTGTTTAAATCTATTTGTTTTTCATTTTCTAATTCGTCAAAAATTTCATCAAAATCGTTTGGAATTGAATTTTTATTAAAAAATTCTGTTATTTTCATGGTTCCTATTGCAGCATTTGTAAAAGATCCATTTGGTCCATACTTATCATAATAAGTTGATTTCTTTGTTTTTCCAATAAGATAAGGTTCACGTTTTTTTTGTTCTAAATATGTATTGCTTGACCAAATTAATTCAACATTATTATAATTATTCCAATCACTATCTTCATTATAATTGTCCCAACCACTATCTTCATCGTCTCCCCAATTATCAATAATCTGTGTTTTTTTTATAAATCTTCCATTACTATTTCGGTTTTGCTTTTTAGCATTAGATTTTTTTTTTGATGAACGAGTCATTATTATTTATAATAAAAATCAAAGATTATCACTTAGATATTACAAATATTGTATTACAAAGCATTAATCACTAGTCCGAAATTTGTTTTTTTACTATATATTACATATAAAATTATATAAAAATTATACAATTTTAAATTAAAATAAATTAAAATTTTATATAATTTTTTATAAATTTAAACCGATAAAAGTATTTAATTTGTTTTAATTTATTAATTTATCGGTTTTAATTTTTATTTTATTGTTTCATTTTTGATTTATAAAATTTTAAAATTATATAACATTAGTGTGGTTTATAAATGACAGCCACTATA